GACTCAGAAGGATCTTGAAGACCTATTGGTCAGAGACTCACTCAAGAGCCTGGTGCTGGAGAAAGCTACCTAAGGGCCAGACCGTAGAGAAAAGGGCATTCCGTGTTCCAGTCAACTGAGACCTTCATTGGTGTGGAAAGGACCACTCGTCACAGAGGAAATTTGACAACGAAAGAGCATCAAGCAAACAAAACAAGTTGACCCCACAGGAATCAGCGGATAGGAAATGAAGAATTCCTGTACATCTGTACAAAAACAGACTGCTGTGTTTAAGAAGTCAGATTAAATGTTGGGAAGGACTGCATAATAGAGTGGACATATTTGACATCAATTGGAAAAGAAGAGACAAGCTAACATTGGTTTAGGCTTGCTTGAAAAAGTGAAGAGATACCAGTAGGCATGTCAACTGAGCAGGCGCTTCTTAGCTATGAACCAGACGCCCCTGGGAGAGGAAAATAAAATGGGAGGGAAGAAATGGTCCAAATGTAACCAAGATTAAAGGTCATCTCCGTGAACTGAAGAAAAGATGGCCACTTCGGACTGCCAAGATGGCCACTTTGGACTGTTAAGGTGGCCACTTTCAACTGCCAAGATAGAACCATCACCAGTGAGCTATGGCATCCTTGTCTGAAGACACTGGCAGTCTAAGCACAAAGTGAAGAGCAGGGGAGCAGTCACCTGGAACCACGAACAAGGTCCACTAATAAATGTAGATTTTGTTTGAAAATAGTCAACCAAAAATCCTCCATGGTTCCAAAGCTTTTCATAAGTTAAACATGGGAAATAATTTTTAAGGAGCCAAGTGTTTTGAAGCATTATTTACTAAAATTTAGCAGTTCCTTTTATTTCTTTTTTATTAAATTCCAATAAATGTAAAATTGCTTTTAAAGCTGATGGTAGGCTAAGGAATCGTTAGAGTTTGGGATGCCAGAACCGCAGGGGGAACATCCAGAATTGAAGAATGCAGCCATAGAGCAGGGCAGGGAAGGGCATATGTAAAGCAATCTGCCTCTGTGGTGATTTGAGGGCAGCGTGTGAGGCTCTGGGCTTCTCCCAGGAATATCTCTTCATTGAGTGGAGCTCACCGTGGGTTATAAATTCCGTGGTATTAAGGATGGCCCATTCCAAGTGTTTGCCTCTTGCAATATAAATATTGTGCAGCACTTCTGGCAGTACCCAGGCATTAAATCCCTCAGACCTCAGCTGAATGCTTGTCCTCGGCGATAGAAAACTGTCCTCAAATTCCACTCAACATTGTAGTCACCATGGGAACTTAAAGCATACATATACATTCACATGGCCCCCAGTAGACATATAAAAGAGGAGGTAACATTATAGTAAAGCAGAAAAGTGTTGGATCAGAGAGCTTTGGGTCAAATTATTCTTCTACCTCTAAGGAGATTAACTCACCTACATTTCTTGTACTTTACTTCGTCTCTTTAAAAAAAAAAATCCAGTAGAATAGTGGTGTCAGGTCTGAAGAAATCTGGAGGATTTAGTGAGATAAGGGCTATAGGATGTCTGCTACTCACTAGTTGTTCAACCAACAATAAGGAACCTCCTTCTGATTTTATTTCGGGAGGCATCAGAAAATGTTCAGAGCACCTACTGGTCATACTGTCTTTGTGTAAAATTATCCTAAATAGTCAGCCAAGATTCTCAGAATCATCAGCCGTCATCAATCCTCTTGCTAACCCCTCCTTTGGTGACATTAACTACTAATCCTTACTCTTCTAAACGTTGTAGCTGCTTGAAGTGGTAAGTGTCTTTGTTCCAATGTGTCATAGTTACAGAAGGACTCAACCCCAGGCTCCCAAGAGCTGCTCCTTTTGAAGTTCATCCAGAGAAAGGAAAACCACACCCAAAGAAGAGTGCTCCCATTTAGTCATGCCCTGCGGATAAATAAGCCAAGTCCGGGGACAGGCACAGTGGGAACATGAAATTCAAAAACCAGTGAATGAAAACACATTAAACCACATCCATCCCACCGTGCAGAAGCAGCCATTGAGATTTTTAACAGTTATTTTCTAGAAAAGTAGTATGGCCAGATAAGACGAACTGAATGAAATACTGCTGAAGAAAGGCATTAAGCATGAGGCAGGTGTCCCCCAGATAAGTGTTAGCTACAATGCTGTCTTCCACACTAATCCTCGCTCTTGCTCTTCTGATTTTCCACTACCTTCCTGGGGTTTCACTGTCCTACAGAATGAGTGGTTGATTTCGCAGTCTATGGACATTACTCTTTTAAATAAATGGCTCTAATCTGCTAACAGCATTCCTTTTAGAGAACTTTTTATAGTAGCAGTAAGCAGTTAGTAGGTAAAGTTCAGCAGCCTCTTCCACAGTACACAGATTCGTCGGCTTTACCAAGGAGCCATAATTTGAGATGACAACTTATTTTCTTCTGAGAAGTATCTTCAGAACCTCCATGGGAATGAGGGTGGACCACAGTGGTAGAGTGGATGCTTGCCCAAGCCAAACCAGGAAAAGTAACCACCCGACTGGTGGGTCAGGCTTTTACATAGTCCCAGCTACTCAGGAGGCTGAGACAGGAAGGCCACAAGTTCAAGGCTCTAGGATCAATGCACAGTTTTACAAAGTAAAAACTTTTAAAGTTAATAAAATTAAAAAAAAAAAAAACAACTCCAAATGCCCATAGAACTTTATTAGAAAAGAATGTTAAAATTATGTTCATTTTCATATAGTCATGTTTTAATTCCATAAATGTAAATGTGGCTCAGAAATATACTTTGTAGCATTCTGTAAAGGCATTCTACAACCATAGCCTCTTATATGACATCAGTTACACAAACTAAAGACGCTTATTGAGGAAGGGCAGTCACAGCTGACTTAGAACCTGGATCCTCACATGAGCAGGTTGTGGGAGAGTCTTCCTAATGGAGGGAAGAATATTTGCAAGATACCAGGAAGTTACTTGCAGGGGAACTGCTAGGGGCAGGCAGCGCGACCTGTACCGAGGAGGATGGAGCTTGTGGTGACAGTCAAAGCCTTTGCCATGAAGCAGTGGAGTGATGTGAGGGAGCTCACAGTACACTTGAGGCAGGTGACGTAGATAGATCAAACAGGAGCCGGTAAAAATGCAAAAGGACCATAGAAAGCCCCAGAGCCAACATTGTTCAGCTTCAGGGTTTAGTTTTTCCTTTCTTTGTTGAATCTGTTAGTTCTTTACTCGCCTCTGGGCATTATTATTTTGTGTATTTTAAATATTCCATAAAACCCTACTATTGGTTTTCTATGTGTTTTCCCCTAACATTCTTGGCACAGCCTCTGCCCTTGTAGGATAATGTGAGCTACTTTAGCAAACTGATGTAAACTGAAACAGAGTTCAGGCCAAGTGACTATTAATATCAGTTTCAAAGATGCTTCATATTCCTCCTGTATCTATAGATAGCTATTATAGCTTTAATTTCGTTTTGGTTATTTTATTGTAGTGAAATACACACAACACAGTATACCATCTGGAGGTCTTAGCGTCCAGCTCTGTAGTGTTGTGTATCCACATGGATATACAGTGAACCCCAGAACATTTTTCCACCTTCAGAACTGCAGAATTTTACCTACTAAACAGGAGCTCCCTGTTCTATCCCTTAGCCCACCTGCTGACTAGCAACATTTAACCTTCTGTGCCCATGAATCTAACCACACTAGGCAGCCCACAGAAGTGGAATAATATAATAACTTTCTTTATGATTGGGTTGTCAAGATTCATCCATACTTTAGCAAATGTCATTTTTTTCCCATTTTAAGACTGAAGAATATTCCATTGTATATATAGGATACATTTTTAAAAACATTTCATTTATAATTATGAGTATGTAAAGATGACCTGAATGAAATACTCGTGAAGAAGGGCATTAATTATGAGACAGGCATCTCCCAAATAAATTCAGGCTACAATCTTGTCTTCTTCCTTAATCCTTGTTCTTCTGGTTTTCCACGGTCTTGCTAGGGTTTCATGGTGCTCCAGAGTCAGCACAGTCTACAAAATTCACTCTTTTAAGTAGTTCTAATCTGATATGTTGCTCTAATATACTGATGATGGGAATGCAAAGTGGTGCAACCACTTTTGAATGGTGTGTTAGTTCCCTAAAAAAATACACACATCTCTTATGTGACCTGGTTATTCTGCAGTCAAAAGGTGTATATGCATATGTTGCCATGCATATTCAGGAGCTGTATTTATTATAATCAAAAAACAGGGCAGGGGCGACAAAGGCCTATCAACATCTGGATGGATTAACAAATGTATTAACAAACTATGGTTTATCCACAGAATGAAAAAATTATTCAGCTTTATAAGAAAAATACTGATATATGCTATATCATGGCTAAATCACAAATTACGGTTAGTGAAAGAAACCAGACTTAAAAAAAATCCATGTGATTCTGTTTCTATAGAATCCAAACAACTACAGTCTAATGCATAGTAGTGGAAAGCTTATCAATGGACGAGGAAGAAACACAGGGAAAGGAGAGGAAGGGCCATAATAAAGTATAGGAAAAGTCAAGGGTGATAGTATGCATGCTTATTATCTTTTTTTTTTTCGAGACAGGGTTTCTCTGCATAGCTTTGCACCTTTCCTGGAGCTCACTTGGTAGCCCAGGCTGGCCTCGAACTCACAGAGATCTGCCTGGCTCTGCCTCCCGAGTTCTGGGATTAAAGGCGTGCGCCACCACCGCCCAGCGCATGCTTATTATCTTAATGTGCCAATGGTATTGTGATTGTCTATCATCTCAAAATTTTATAACATTTTAAACTTTATATGTATATATATATATAGTTTATTGCATGAAAACTGTATCTTAATAAAGCTTCTAAAATTATATCTTGGTAAATAATAAGTGTGAAACATGAAGTATTAAAACATGCTACAGATGTACATTGTTGAGTAAACCATTTGGCTAAGAAGCATTAAGTGGGAATATCACGTGAAGTCATGCTTATGAAAAGCCAGAACATTAAGTATCCCCTTTATTAGAGTTGGACTGGGTATTGGTGCTGTGGAGTGGAAGTGATATCCAAGTGACTATGCTCTCAGGAAGAGGACCAGGAGAAATCACTTGTCAAAGGTCAGTAGCTAACTGGAAATGTCGTGGTTTCTATCTGAAATGCCCCCCCAAGGCTCATGTGTTGTAGGCTTGATCCATAATGCAACAGTGCTCGCAGGTTGAGCCTTTGGGATGTGATTAAGTCGGGGGGGGGGGGGGGGGCTCCATGCTCACCACTGGATTCATTTACGGATTCATATCCTAACCATTGTTTGGAGTTGGTAGGATCGTTAGGTAATGGACCTAGATGGAGGAAGCAAGTCACCTTAGCTGTGCCCTTAAGGGTATGTTTCATCCCTCTGTCTTCATGGACTTTTTTTCCTTCTGCTTCTTGGCCCCTAAGAGATGATAAGGTTTTCCCTGGGCTATGTGTTCTACCTTGAACATGTCTATAGCAACTGGGCAGAGCAGCCATAGGCTAAACCATGAGCCAGAATCTTCCCCAATCTTCCCAAGTTGCTTATCTTCAGCATTTTGTCTCAGCAACGGGAAACCGGCTAATGCAGAAGATAACACAACTGGATGAGAGATCTTGCTCTGGTCACGGTGGTCATTTGTCTCTTCAGATGCCTTTCCATCCTGCCTATGCCATGGAAATCTGGCCCATAAGGATCCTAACCCTGATCTAGGTTTACTGCTGGATTGGGTTTGTCCAATAAGAGCAAAAGTAAGATATGAGAAGAGGGGAGGGAAGTCAATGTGTCTACTCTTACATCTTCACTTCTGAAATCACCATCAACTCATCACTGCCCCCTCACACACACACTGAAGGCTGTAACTCTCACTGGCTGGACCCCCACACAGTCATCTCCCTCTGGTTCTGATAGCCCCTCTCTCCCCTCTGCTCAGGCCAGAGTCACTTTTTGGTGGTAATCCCCCTGGGATGCTGTCCTGTCTCTTGCAGTTGCCTTATAATGTGCAAACACCTTTCCGAATCAGTCCTTTCATTAAACTTTTCTCATGTTACCTAGTCTCAGTATGTCAGCTGTCTCCATCTTTAACTTGAACAAATCATAACAGAAATGCATGCTTTATTTACTGCACTTTGGTAAGGGGCCATAATTTTACCAAATAAATGTGGGGCCAATTTTAGTGGTGCCAGGTGTCTAAAAAACAAGGGAAAGATGGCCGGATAGGAGGGAGTTGGGGGTGCCTTCCTGAAGCTGTATTTTCCCTTGCACTGAGTACTGATTTGGTGGATGCTTGTATGAGCTTGGTGTCCTAGTTGGCTAAGATTCTCTGATGCAAACCAGCCCACCATATAACTCCTTGGTCCCACAGCTGATTTTCAATGGTTAATAATAAGGCACTATGGCACATTTACACCCCAATGAAAATTATGCATGCCTGCTATTGATTTGCCATTGAATGTTGAATGATTCACCTCTCCTTATTTAGACCACCTGAAGTCAACATGTCTTGAGGAAATTGTGTGTGCACAATGACTAGTGAAGAACGGCCTGGAAAGTCTCTCTGGTCCTTTGAGGCAGTGATCATCCATCGATGAAACACTGTGCTTGTGTACCATTCAGTTCTTCTGAAGGTCCCCAGAGAAGTGCATCCTCCTTACCCTCATTCCACATTTCTGCCCATCAGTGTGCTCCCAATGGGCACAGGAAGCATTCACATTTCTGTATTTGTGCTTACTATTTCATCAACAAGATTTGCCTTTGGGGGAAACAACCCTCCCCCCAACCCACACACACATCTTATTTATATGAGTAAAAAATGTCATACTCCTGCCCACTACTCATGGGCTCATACACAGTGTGTGTGGTGCGGGGGGGGGGGGGGGGGGGCCACAAAAAGGCCAGGCCTTGCGTTTTCTATCATAGGTCCCCTCTCTGTAGTTTCCCCACCCTCTGCCCTTAAGAAACTTGTTCAAAAGAAACACGCATCAGGAAAAGAAGGCTCCCTGATGTCGGTGAGAGTTTTACCCCCAGGGAAAGCCTGCTTGATAACAATGATCTGGCATGCATATATTTAAAGCTCAGTCGACATTTCCAACTGTTCAGTGTTTTTCTCACCAGGAAGCCAAGCCAAAGTTACTTTTAGGTAGTTTGAGCTTAAGCAGAAGAGAGAAGATCAAATGCCTTTTGTTCCTAATACACTAACCATCCAAACAGCAACACCCTGGACCTGCATGCACAGGCTCTGTCACAAGCCACAACTGTGGTTCTTTAACTGATGCCAAGAAGTGAAAGGACACACACACACACACACACACACACACACACACCTCTATCAGTCAGTAGCAGTTACAGAAATGATTTACTCTAGAGATGTTTTATCTATGTTGTATCACATTCACAGACTTGTATATTAGTTTTTCTTCTAACATGTTCCTGATAGTGTGTATATTCTCCATGCTTGTGTGTGTGTGTGTGTGTGTGTGTGTGTGTGTGTGTGTGTGTGTGTGTGTGTGTCCCTCTCAAATCCATTGCTTTCTGGAACTGTAATAATCTGGTTTGGAATATTTGTCTAGCGTTTTTCTTCTGTTTTTTTTGTAGAAATGATTCCATTGTTTCATTAGCTGGAAAATCTGGATCTGATCTTTGGAAGGAGGATTTGGAACATAACGACCATGCCTTTTAATGAAAAGATTAACAATGCTTCAGAGCTGAATAGTCCTGTATTTGTTTAAAATGGGCCTTGCATTTTACTCTCTTGAGAACATACAATACCGACTCTTGTCCTGGGTTTATATACCATTCCAATCTCCTTGCCCATGTTCTAAATAAAGGTGGTATGACTATATGTTTAAAATAAGAAATAACTCCAGTGTGCTCCAGCTTTGTTTATAAAAATGAATGCTAGACATTTTCTTGGATCTTGAAAGCAATGACATCCTATACTGATGCCCTTTCTGTAATCACAACACTAACCACTTCCAGCCCCTGGTTTTCTGTTGCAGCATGCTGATGATGTTTAGTTTTACACTTATTAAAGAACCATGTCCCGCTTGATTATCCTCTTTCCTGCATTGCTGGCAGAGCACGGGCCATCTAGTCTATACAGGATTACACACACTTCCACTGATTTTGCTGGCTGAGCGTTGGTGATGTAGTTTGGCCAGGAATCCTCAGTCTGCCTTTTCCTAATTTGGTACTACTGTCAGCCTGTCCCTGACAACACCATGACACCCCACTCTCTCTTCTGATTGCTCACCAGGGGAGGGGACATACAGGACCTCCTCTTGTTGCTGAGGAAATGTAGCACATTCATTTATGCGTCGTTACACACAGACAGAAAAGGCCAAGACAAACAGTGACAGAGCATGCTGAACCCTGTGGGACATCCGAGGCATTCTTCCAGTCTAGGACTGGAGCCCAGCAAAACCAGAACCAATAGGGTGGCTTTCTCCTAACTCCCTTCCTCCTCCATTCCCCTTCCAAATTTACCGGTCATCAATATGAGTACCCCAGAAGGAAGACATCCAAATGATGCTTAATGAACGAAGGAATTAGACCTCAGCGACCATCTAGTCTCATGGTTTTCAAAAGGCTCTGAGGAGCCCCAGGAGCTCTCTGATGGACAAAATCTACCCTCCAAAGCCCTTCCTCCTTCTTCAGAGTAAAGGCAGGCTTCAGTCTCCCGGCCCAAGCTCCTCTGCCGCAGCCTTTCTGCTTCTTTTCTGTTCCAGTGAAGTTCCTTCAAGAGTCATTTGCTAAAGAATGCTGCACTGGAGAAGAAGTGGTGAGGAGGACAGCTCCGTCAGTCAAGTTATAAAAGCAGAAGGTCCTACGTCTGCTCAGAGGACCCGTGCCGAAAATCCAGGTGCGGTGGTTCATACATGTGCACACACACACACACAACACACCTCACATACCACACTCACACATACACACCACACACACATACCATACACCACACACACACAATACACATAACACATACACAGGCATACACATACACTCAGACACCACACTCACATACACCACACACACACATACCACACACACACACCACACACACATATACCCCACACATATACACACACCACACACACACACACCACACACACACACACCACACACACACATACCACACACACACACACCACACACATATACCCCACACATACACACATACCACACACACCACACACACACCACA